CACCCTCTCCTCTTCTTCCTGCCAGCTCCTCCTCCATCTCTGGGGATGAAGGTACCACTCTTTCCTCCCCCGACCCCACGACCTCCTGCAATGTGGCTTTTCCTGCTGCCCCCCTCCTCACGGCTGCCAAGGAGTCCTCTAGGGGCGTGACCTGCCTTTTCAGTAACTCTCTTCCTTGACCCTCTTGATAATTCGCTCTTTCTCTTTCTCCTGTATAACATTTCCCACTATCTCGATGAAAAGAAACCCTACAATGCCAGCTGCCACACGGCCCCCTAGGGTGTCCAAGCAGTCTTCCAACTCACAGAGGACTAGTTCTGCAGCTTCTGGTGTTTCCACCCTTCCCCACTTCTGGGGAAGACCCCACCCTCCTAGGAGGTACTTTACCCTAGACCAGTTCCCCACTAGGGGCTCCCAAATTGGAAGCCCCACAACTAGGGGGATAATAACTGGTGAAGCTGCACCCTCTGCCACTGCAGCCACTGGGGCCTCCCCTCCATCCACAGGGGAGGTTCCAGGCATTTCCCCACCATCTCTAAGGGCAGCCCTCCCATAGGTCGCACCCATTTAGACAGATTTCGGGTTCAGAGGTCCTGCCGACTAACGCCAGATGTAACTCTGGGGAGAGGAAATCCCAGGGCAAAATACCTCTAAAACCGAAATCAGTCAAAGTGAGAAATAAAGTTTAAAACCCATTTATTGCTTACAAACTGCAGTCCCGGCCGTGTTTCTCTCCTACTTAGGCAGAGCAAAAAAAAAAGACGCCCCCCTAACCTCTCAGGTTCAGATAAGCCCTCCCTTGCCCAGGTAATTGCCCATTGATATGGAGATGAGCTATCTTTATCCACCCCTAAGGAAAGCCTGTTGATATGCAAATATACTAAAGCCAGGTGCTATATTCTGGATATCTTACAATTTTACCTAGACTGCCTGAGCCCCAAAAGGTGCCTTAAAATCCTTATTTCATGATCTCTTCTTTTATCAGGTAACCCCCAAATTGTGATCATGTCCCTCACGTTCCTCTGCCTGAGTATCTCATCAGGGGGGTTAAGAGGGGGTGGCTGGGGCAGATACACACAGGGACAGCTGTAGGTTCGGCCCTCACAGCGTGAAGGAGCTGGCCCCAACGGGTGCCCTCAGGAGCCTGGCCACATGAGGCTGAAGTGTGGGGCTCTCTTTTGAGGGGGAGGGTAGCTGTGAGACCACTTTGAGTGACCTGCAGTTCCTGGCAGGGCTGACAGTGCCTCTGAGTCTTGAAACCATCACAAGAGAGGGTGTCTTTGCTACTTCCTGTGGCAGCTCTGGGCACGGACAGAGGTGCAGCAGAGGGACTAAGGCCAGCTCTGGGAGCGTAGTGTGCTCCCTCTCCAAACCACAGCTGACTTCCTTTCTTTGGTGTCTTTAGGAAAGGGCCTGGTGGGCCTCCCTGGCTTACACACTGCACCCAGGGTGGGCGTGCACCAGCTTCCACCAATGTCTTATGCTCCCAGGAGTCCAGTTTGTGCCTTGACTGCCTCCCTGTTCCTGAAGGCTGATCTTTCTCTGAGGCACTGGAAAAGGGCCATGGGGAGGAAGGTGCTGGTGGGGAGGGGACAAGGGTCTGGAATTCTGCGACTGGGGCATGCAGGGTTGGCCCTGGTCCTGTAGGCCTGAGGACCTGGAGCTGGAGGCATCTGGGCTGGGCCCCTGCCGGCAGCAGATGGCACCCCAGGCCCTACCTTGCAGGAGCTCAGAGAGCAAGAGAAGCTGAGGGTGAGGAGCCCTCCCCGCGACCCTCTCGCCGCCAACTTCACACTCCCTGCAGTGCAGCCCAAGTGAGGAATTGCACATTGTTGTGGGATTGTCTGGCTAGTGGGTCTCCCACACCAGCCTGGCAAGGTTACATGGTCATCCGAGCATCCTGAGGAACCCACAGCAGTTGCTGAGTCAGCGCAGGCCTGACCGCAGGTGAACCAGTGGACACGCCCCTCCTGGGAGGCGCTGGGAGAGTGCTGGCCCTGCAGGGGGAGCTGCCGCCTGGTCGGCCCACGTCCAGTCCTCACGGGCGGGCCGCCGGGGAAACCGTCAGATGTGAGACCCCTGCCCTAAAGCAGTCATGTGGACTTCAGTGGTGCAGAGAGGGTCCCAGAGGGAACGGTGCTGGGCACGTGGGGCCAGGCTTGATCCTCAGCCCTGCCTTCTCCCGAGGAGGGGGGGCTAGCGGTTCGTTGTGGCTGTCTCTCACTCCGCACAACCTGGGTCAATCCAAGGCAACCAGGGCCCAGCTGATGGTCTCCAAGGGTGGGTAGCCAGCCACAGGGATGTTGAGCTGAATTTATGGCTAGTTGGAACTGAGATGTGCTGTCAGTATAAACACACACTGGATTGCAAAGACTTAGTACATGAAAAGAATGTAAAATATCTCAATAATTATTTCATGTTCATTATATCTTTAATCACATTTTGGATATGCTGTTAAATAAAATTGTAAGTTGTTTTTCTTGTTTCTTTTTACTTTTGAAAAGCATGGCTACAAGAATTTCCTATGTGGCTTGCGCTGTATTTCTACTGAACACTGTTGCTTCCAACCCACAGGTGCCTTGACCTTTCTTGCCCCTTTATCAGCGGGGGCAGGTGTTAGGTGTGGGGCCTGCCGTAGGGCCTCTGCATCACTCTCCTGGGCCGGTGTGGCCAGGCGGGCTGGCGTTGAGCAGTGGGAGGAGGGAGAGGCTGCGGTGCTGGCAGAGAGCAGTCCCAGCGCACAGCCAGGTGGGCTACCTCCGCAAAACCTTTTTTATTTCCAGAGCCTTTTACATTCTGCAGCCCCAGAACCTTGGATATCCCCTTGTCCTATCGGTGAGTGAGAGAATGCAGCCATTCTCTGTGGTAAGTCAGCAGCTCCAGAAGCTAGATTCCTTGAGTCACACAGCCTCCCCTTGGGCTCTCCGAGGAAATTCAAGACCCCTCCATGCACAGCTTGACTCATCCGTGTTCAGGCTTTGTCCTCTGCCTCACTGCCCCTCCCTTCTACCCAGCTCCCCTCAGGCAAGCAACTGGTTATACTCTTCACTTATTCCATTGCCGGGAAACTCTAGGGGGGCAGGGTCCTGGTGACGTGCAAGGAACACAACTCGCCACACCAGCAGAACAAGGCGGACGGCCAATAGATTCATTGTTGAATGAGTGCATGGATGGTATCACTTCTTCAGAGAAACCCCTCCTAAAGGCCCCCCATGGACAGGGCAGCCCAGGCCTCCCTGACTTCCTACTCCCTGTGTCCCCCTGCACCTGTGAGCTGCCCCAGGGCAGGGGTGGTGGCTGCACTCCTCACACTTTACAAAGGCTAGAACAGAGTAGGCGCTCGGGAATAACGCGTGAAGAACAAACCTGGGCAGAAATCTTCCCTGATGCAGGGACAAATGAAGTTCCCTCGCAAGCCTTCTCATGGCACCGAAGTTCACCTCTTCCCAGGGGGTGTGGCTTTGGGTATACCCCTCATCCACTCTGAATCCCAGGGTGTGACAATAGTGAGGAGCACATGAAACACTGCCATAAAGCACAGCCCATTGCCTATTGAGCCGTCACTGTGACCATCCTCGGGACACCTGGAGACATGTGCCACTTCATGAGCCCACTGTCAGGTGTGGACTCCCTACCCCCAATGCAACAGAGCCTCACACCAGCCAGCACAGAAAACATTGCTTTATTAACTGCGTTTGCCAACACACGAGGAGTGCAAAGGGTGCCTTAAGACACAGGCCCTTGAGGGGGCCGGGGTCTGGAAACCCGCATGAGTGAGCAGGACAGGGTAAGACTGGGATGTAAGTTGTTTTTCTTGTTTCTTTTTACTTTTGAAAAGCATGGCTACAAGAATTTCCTATGTGGCTTGCGCTGTATTTCTACTGAACACTGTTGCTTCCAACCCACAGGTGCCTTGACCTTTCTTGCCCCTTTATCAGCGGGGGCAGGTGTTAGGTGTGGGGCCTGCCGTAGGGCCTCTGCATCACTCTCCTGGGCCGGTGTGGCCAGGCGGGCTGGCGTTGAGCAGTGGGAGGAGGGAGAGGCTGCGGTGCTGGCAGAGAGCAGTCCCAGCGCACAGCCAGGTGGGCTACCTCCGCAAAACCTTTTTTATTTCCAGAGCCTTTTACATTCTGCAGCCCCAGAACCTTGGATATCCCCTTGTCCTATCGGTGAGTGAGAGAATGCAGCCATTCTCTGTGGTAAGTCAGCAGCTCCAGAAGCTAGATTCCTTGAGTCACACAGCCTCCCCTTGGGCTCTCCGAGGAAATTCAAGACCCCTCCATGCACAGCTTGACTCATCCGTGTTCAGGCTTTGTCCTCTGCCTCACTGCCCCTCCCTTCTACCCAGCTCCCCTCAGGCAAGCAACTGGTTATACTCTTCACTTATTCCATTGCCGGGAAACTCTAGGGGGGCAGGGTCCTGGTGACGTGCAAGGAACACAACTCGCCACACCAGCAGAACAAGGCGGACGGCCAATAGATTCATTGTTGAATGAGTGCATGGATGGTATCACTTCTTCAGAGAAACCCCTCCTAAAGGCCCCCCATGGACAGGGCAGCCCAGGCCTCCCTGACTTCCTACTCCCTGTGTCCCCCTGCACCTGTGAGCTGCCCCAGGGCAGGGGTGGTGGCTGCACTCCTCACACTTTACAAAGGCTAGAACAGAGTAGGCGCTCGGGAATAACGCGTGAAGAACAAACCTGGGCAGAAATCTTCCCTGATGCAGGGACAAATGAAGTTCCCTCGCAAGCCTTCTCATGGCACCGAAGTTCACCTCTTCCCAGGGGGTGTGGCTTTGGGTATACCCCTCATCCACTCTGAATCCCAGGGTGTGACAATAGTGAGGAGCACATGAAACACTGCCATAAAGCACAGCCCATTGCCTATTGAGCCGTCACTGTGACCATCCTCGGGACACCTGGAGACATGTGCCACTTCATGAGCCCACTGTCAGGTGTGGACTCCCTACCCCCAATGCAACAGAGCCTCACACCAGCCAGCACAGAAAACATTGCTTTATTAACTGCGTTTGCCAACACACGAGGAGTGCAAAGGGTGCCTTAAGACACAGGCCCTTGAGGGGGCCGGGGTCTGGAAACCCGCATGAGTGAGCAGGACAGGGTAAGACTGGGAGCTACGCAGCAGTGGCAACACAGAACCATGCAGGGCGCGGCGGGCACCAGCCACACCAAGGCGGCCATACATTCTATTGCTCGGTAGGGTAGCAAACATGGACGATGTACAAAAAGGAGAAATAGGTCTTTGCGTTAATGAAAAATACATTTTTTTCTCTACAAAGGAATCTTTTCTAATACAAGAAAATAAATATTGCAACATAAGCCAAAAATAATTTAAAATTGCTCTTTTCAATATATTTTCAATATTTCTCTTGTATATTAACAAATGGCACATCACTTTCTTTGAAACAAAGACAGAAGGTGTCTCCTCCTGTGACATTCATATCATTCCCCCACCCCGAGCCGACTGGAGCAGAGCATTGTGCATCTGAGGGGCAAGGTGGCAGGAAGCACGTTAAGAACAACCTGAAGTCCCAGACTCCAGCCCTGGCTCTTTGGCCAAAGTGGCCAGCTGGGCCAGCGCATGAGAAGTGGCTTCCTCCAGGGCCTTGCTCCAGGCATCCAGACCATTCTGCTGTGGGCATGGGCAGAGGCTGGCCACATCTGGCAGTAAGCGAGGAAATGCCAAGTCCAGCTACTGCCAATGTATATTTGAATCGGGCAGTTGATCAGTACCCTGACAGTCCTGCAGTGTGCCCACACCATGCCCCCCAACCCACATGTGCAAGGACAAAAGACACATGCCCTGGAACACATTCACACACCCACAGTCTGTAACACACGTCTGGAAACCTCAGTGGCTTCTCTTAAGGTAAAGGAGACCCTTCCATTGCAAATGCTCACACACTGTCACAAAGTCAGAGCTCATTTATTAAAATAAACCCTTCTACCTTCTCATTTGTTTAAAATACACTTACGATCCATAAAAATACTTTCCTTGCACCTTATTCTTTCTCATTGTGATGAAGGGGGACATGGTAGTGTGGGCCGCCAGGACTGGGAGAATGGGGATGACAGCCAGAATAAGTCAGAGCAGCTTCTATCCTCCACACCCGAGGAGCGCCCGTGAGGGTGGCCAAGATGTGGACAGATGTGGTTAAGTGAAAGACCTGCCTCAGCCTCTGGCCTTGAAAAGATCCTCTGCCTTCTTCCCTGCTTCCTGCCTTAACCTCAAGGGCAGCAAAATTGTCTACAGTGTGGATAGTGGGCCGGAAAAAGTGTGAAGGGACTGTGGCTAACAGCAGATAGCACACTGGGGAGGGATACCTTATCCTCCTTGCAGCCTGGTGTACATCCTAGAGGTGGACAGCTGCCTGGCAGGAGAGAGAAGGGGACACTGCCAGCCAGGCTGACAGACACATGGGCCCCAGGGACAGTCCACTCAGTCCAAGAGCCAACTGAGAAGAGGGCCAGAATCCAGAGGCCCGCCCAAAGGGTTCTGGCTGCCCTGCCTGGCCCAGCTGGTCCAGACCCTGGCCAGGCCCTCGGTACTGCTCCCTGGTACTCCTCACCCCGACCTCCACGCCCAGGGAGCCCAGTCTCTGTGTGGAGTGGTTGAAGGGGAAGGGGGCAAGTTCTGAGCTGTTCGCAGCACTGTGTCCCTGCCCCAGGCAGAGTTCGGTTGTTAAGCTCACCTCTGCTTCCTGTGGGGTCGGGCGGGGCAGTCCAGCAGGAAGCTGTGACCCTAGGTGATCTGATGCTTGGGGAGGGTCTGTTCAAAGGCAGTAAATAGACAACGGGGAGGGAGGCCGATGTGGCCCCTGCTACCAAGGTGGGCAGGGAGGCTCAACTCTACATGGCAGCTCATACTGTCCCAAAGCCCGGAGCCCTTGAAGCCTACCCTAGGTCCACTCCAACTGGACATACTCATCCTGCCCCCTCTGAACTGACTCGCATCGGTTTCCTGTTTTGCTAAATTCACATGAAACTGGTGTCGATGATGCCACTGTCGTACCTTTAAGATAGTTTTAGAGTCGAGAGTTGGGGGGGGTCAAGCTGCTCCCCATCCCACTGATTTGCGCTTTGTGCATTTGCATGGGGGGAACCAAATGGTAAAAACTTTGGCCGGGCTGGTTCCGCCATCAGGATTCCTCCCATCATGAGTCTGAGTTTAGAAATGCTCACAGCGAGTCCAGCCCAGGACCTGAAATCCAACACCTGGTTCCTGGTTCCAACAGTTCAGCAGCCAAACAGCAAGCGTCCGAGAGCTTGGGCTCATCAGCTTGGATGTGTGCAATGAACATGTTTCTATGCTTTGTTGCTAAAGAACTCCATTAAAAACAAGTCCACATGACAAGTTGTCAGGTCCAGGCTGTGCTGTAATATGGTCAAAATATTCTTTGGCATCCACAGAATGATTCGACTGATTGGCTGGGCTTTTGCAAGGTTCTTGTTGGAGAAGTTCTGGCTTTACCGGTGGTGGAAGTGACCCAGGAGTAATTCATAACAGAAAAAAACCGCATTTTCACTGAATTCCTTTTAGTTTGTTCCCTGAGCTATCACCCTGGGGCCACTCCACTGAAACTCTTCAGGGCAACTACCTGGGACCTGGAGGGTGGGGTGGGAAGCTGGGTTGTGGTGGGGGGAGGGCGGACACGGCTGGAACAGGGGTTAAGGCTTGGAGGGACAGAGGAACCAGGAACACCCAGCGAGGCTTGACGCAGCCCTAGCAGGCCAACACTGGCCTGGCCCGGCCCCGGGATCCCACCGCCAGTTGGAAGGAGAAGTTTCCAAAAGGAAACGAGGAAAGCAGCTCATCTCTTAGCAGGACTGGGAAATTTGAAAAGGCAAACGGTCTGGTCCGGTCAGTTGTCTCAGAGTGACCAGACTTTGGCCGAGATTGGCCCCGAAGGAAGGAAGGAAGTTGGCGCCACAGAGCGATTCTCTGCAGCGGGCGAGTCTGAGCCCCCCGCCCCCGTCTGGGCACTGGCCCTCCCTTGCAGCCCTCCGCTGGCACTGGCAGCTGGCTGTTTGGGAGTCCCCTGAGTAGATGGCACAGCTTGGGAAGGATTCCAGTAACCCCTTCCCAGAGCCGCCGGGCTGGGCGCTGGCAGGGGTGGAGCAGCAGGGGAGTGGAGGGTCGCGGGTGGGCCTCAGATGGCGTGGGTTGATCAGGAACGGCTGTGGTTCCCTGGAACCAGTGGGCCCTCTGCGCCCCCTCAGTGCTTTCTCACATGAGCTCGTTGTGCTTTGTGACAGTGAGTAGACTCTGGCTGGGTATCACTTGTTATACTTCCTTGGGGATCAGTGGAGTGCAGCAGGACCCCCCAGGTGGACCCCAGTGGGACCTGGGGGCAAGGCGGGGTAGGCCCTGGGCTGGCCCATCTGCCAGGAAATAATGCCCAAACAATAGCCTGTGCCACCCAGTGGCAGCGGGCTCAGAAGTCCTGTGCTCTCCTTCACCTCGCCTACATTTAGCCAGGAGCCCAGCGTGTTGCATGGGCCAGGGTGGGGATGCTGCCGCGGCAGGGATGGCACTCAGGACCCGTGTGGTCCTTCGCCAGAGCCGTGGAGGGAAACCTAATGTCCTAGGCCAGCACAGAGGAAAGACAACAGTGTGGAATTCAAAACTCTCTCTATATTAAAAATAAAACCACAACAGAGTGGCAGCCTCAAGGGTCTGACACACTCTGGCAGAGATTGGAAATGGCAGTTGTGACTGGGCTGAGGCCTCATGGGGGAACAGGGCAGGGCCTGGGACAGGGGTAGGGGTGCCTTAGGAGGCCAGCACCCCCATGCGGACCACTTCCTCAGCCCCTGCTTCCCGGGGACCCCGCTGCACCCCACTGCCCTCAGCTTCCACGTCTGAGTCACTCATCTCCCCATCAGAGAAGTAGCCATCAGTCTCAGTGTCAAAGTGCAGGCTGACCTTTGGCCTCTCAGCCACAGCAGAAGGCGGTCCTGTCCCAGCATCAGGCCTGGCACCCGGCGATCTCCGGGTTCCCTTGCTCTCTCGGGGCGGCTGAAGCCGGCCCGAGGGCTTGGGGCTCGCTTTTGGGCCAGGCACTTGGACATTCGAGTCAGCAGCCGTTGGGGCTGCCTCACCTGGGGTCTCAGGGGCCAGCAGTGGGGGGCTCTCAGGGGCTGCTGGGATGGGGCAGTCCCCAGCTGTAGGGCTGGACGGCAGGTGAGAAGGCGTTCGCCGTGGAGGCTTCCTGGCAGGTGGCCCCTGAATCCCTTTGCCACTGCTGGCATCCTGGCCCCAAGGCTTCTTGGGGGGTTTGTCTGGAGTTGTCCGTGGGCTGGGCCCATCCTGGGGTGGTTTCTTCTTGACAGGCAGGCGGGTGCGGCCACGGGCCTTCCGGGCAGGGTCGCCAGGGCGCAGCGAGGGGTCCCGCATGAAGCTCAGCAGCGTCTCCTCATCCTGCAGCAGCTCCTCCGACAGCAGCCCGGGAGTGGGATCCTCACGGTGCCCGCTGTTCAGTGACCACTCGCTCATGGCCATGTTCTCTGCTGTGATCTGCACAGACTGTGCCAGCCAGCTGTTGAAGAAGGTGCCGTCGATGGGGAAAGAGGTGGACAGGCCTGGCCAAGGGGAGAGAGGGGGCAGGTGAGATGCCAGCACTGTGTGTCCCACCCACCTTTAGGAAGCCCCTTCTGACCCTTCCCCGCACACCACTGTGTACCTTCCTCCCTCCTTCCGGCTGTGCTAGACCCAGTGCAGCTAACTTGCTTTGTCCATCCCTATTGCCACCACCACCAAAATCTTAGGTTCCATACTATATACCCCTCTCCCAACATGTCCTACTCCCAGAACTGGCTTCCTAATCTGTGGGGTGGAGTACAAAGCGAAAATGTGGGCTCCCTGTTCAAAGCTCACTAAGAATTTCAAGGTGGGAGCAGGAGAGCATTAAACCAAGTGAGGGCCCCGAGCCTGCAGGTGCACACCCATGAGGGCCCTGCCTACCACCCGCATCCTGGGGCACAGCAGATGGGAACAGAGGCCAAGTGCCCTCAGGGCACCAGGGGGCGCTGGGTTTTTATGAGTGGAGCCTCCCACAGCTTCCAAGGCAGGGAACATGGGTAAGAGTGTCAGGCAACATAACGTATGGGTAGAAGGGCCAACTCTAGCTATGGGCCCTTCCACTGAAGTCTTGGGAGGGGTAGCTGGTGACACTGTGCCTCCTACTAGGCACCCAAGATGTTCCCTTCCTGAGACTTAGGGAAAAAAAAGTTGACCGGGGGCTTTGGTGCTGAGGTGTGGGAGGGGGTTTCACTGAGGTCTCCTGAGAAGTGCTCTAGGAAGCACGTGACATGCAGACACAGAGCCTAGGCTGGCGGCCCCTCAAGGGCGGTTCCAGGAAGGTTCACTGGTGCTGGTTGGAGGACCCACTAAGAGGACGCCAGCAGAATGGGTAAGGATGGAGAATTCTGGAAGACCCTCATCTCCTGGGATGGGGCTGGGACCCTAGAAGGGCCCAGATGGCCTAGTCCAGGAAAATCTAGCATCCAGGACCCTGGCCAGGGGAATGAGCAGGCAGTTCTCAAGCTCCTGGGTCCAGCCTCCAGGTCTACAGAAGGGGAATTTCCTGGGATGCCAGAGCAGGCTCTGAGACCCTCGGCTTCTGGACAGCTGAAAGGTGTGAGCGATGGGTGAGGAAGGGCCTGGCTAACCCCTCTGGGCCTCCTACTCTGTGCAGCAGGGGTGTTGGTGGGCCTTGCTGGCCTGAAGCTTGGGGCTTGGAAGGGAGCGATGCTGTGAGCCTGGCCACGTCCGCTCGGTCAGTGTGGCCGCGCACTCACCCAGCTGCCCCAGGACTGAGTCGGGCCCCGCCTTCACTTTCTCTTTCTTCTCAGGGCTGCCCTTCGGGCCCTCGTGGCCTTTCCTTTGCGAGTCGCTCTTCTTGCCCTTTGCTCTCCTCCCAGACCCCTCTGCACCAGCAAAGAGAGAGCAGGTTACCCCAAGTAACCCCAGCCAGAACCCAAATCACCGCATTTCACCCAGGGGCCCTCCATCCCCTGCACCTTGCCTTCCAGGGCAGCTCACCCTGCCTCTGTGGGGCCACGGGGGCTGCTCAGAGATGGCGGTGTGGAAGAGAGGGGTAACTGTCTGCTGCTGCCCTTGAGGGGCATGGGCAGAGCACAGGGCCATGAAGAGGGTGGAGAAGCACCTTGAAGGGCAGGGATTACAGTCTGATCTGGCCCACAGATCCTGGGACAGAGTCCTGGTGGATGGGAAGGCCAGCCGGAGGTGAGTGACCGGGCAGGGCCTTGAATGCCAGGCCAAGAAGCTGCGTATGAAGGGTGACAGAGCACTACCTGAGTGGCCTACAGGCTTGAGTTCCGGGCCATGAGACCTTGCACTCCTGACCCTCGTGACCCCTGGCAATCCCCCTCCTGCCCCGGTTGCAGCTTTCCAGCCCCTTTCCAGTTTCTCTAAAACAAACTTTGGCCTCCAGGCCTCCAAATATGTCCTTTCCTTGTCCTGTCCTTCGCCTGGTTCAGCTAACAGCCTAAAATCACTGCCCCTGGGACGCCTTCTCCGGCTGTCTGGCCAGAGAGGCCTTGGCAATGTGCTTGGGGCCCACGTCCCAACACAGGGGGTCAGACGCAACAGCACCGAGGCCATGGGCTTCGGGCAGAGGTGGGGCGGTCTCTCTCTAATCCCCTTCCTTGAACAAAGGGCCACTTGTCATTGCTACTCAGGTTTAGGAGTCACAAATGTCCCCAGGCTCCATGTGGGATGTGGAGCCACCAGGTGGGGCTTTGTTTCTAGAATCCCATGCTTGAGTGCACTAAAGCCATCTCTGATGCCTCTGTCCCTGCGCTGCCATGACTGCAGCCCTAGGCTACCACTTCCCTTTACCTTCCCAGATGGTGAGCTCCCCAAGGGCAGGAATCCTATTCATTCAGTCCACAGCAGTGTGCAGTGCCCTGCAGCACCCAGCAGCCTGCCTGTGCTCAGTCAGCCTTGCTGAATGAATCGACAGATGGGAAGGAGCCTGGAAAACTGGCAGCTAGGAAGCTGCCAGTGGAGGGTGCATGGTGAGCTCTGACCTCTGCATGGCTGTGACCTGGCCCGACCCAGCAGCTGCACTAGGCAGTGCTGGTCTCTGGGGCCAGAGTGAGTGGTTGGTGATCCCAAAGTGCCAGGGAGGTGGCTCGGCTCAGGCAGGGGTGGGGCAGTGGCAGGCCCTCGGCCATTCGTTCAGGTGTTGGGCCAGCTTCCCCTCCCTCTCCAGGTGCAGCCTGACCCAGCTGGTTGTGGCAGCTTCTGTTCACAATCTTTCTCCATCCAGCTATTTCTGCTGCTTGTAATCTAACATTAGAACTCCACTTCTTGAGTTAAGCATTGCCCTCTTTAGCATATAAACATTTCAGGAAGGGCTGTGTCTGGCAAATCCACACGGCTAACAGAAAGAGCAATGTCAAAGCCGCTTGGTCTTTGATTTCCATGTCTGTTAAATGCATGGGATGGCAAGAGAGTAAAAAGAAAACAGAAAAAAACTGGCTAGGGCAGGGCCTGAATCCTACCAGATGAGGTCAGAGAGGAAGAACACACAGGTCCTCTCCCATCTCTGGGGCAGCTGCCTTCTTCTGGATCAACCTGCAGGCACATGGGGGTTGAGGGAAGCTAGCTGGCTTTGGGCCCTTCCTGCTCCAGTACCAGCATAGAGCCGCTAAGACTTGGTTTGCACCTGTTCATATGCAATTTACTGCTAAACTATTATGGCACTACATGGATGTCCCCCTGTGAACCAGAAAAACTCCCTGAGGGCAGGCCTGATACCACATTCCAAACTCTGTCTCTTTGTCTACCAACACAAAACTGAAACCCTGGGACGGCCCATGTTGGCGTACTAACTGGATATGGAGAGTATGGGTGGGAGGCAGTGGCCCCTGGCCCGACACACATGGCCCTACCAGGCCCCAAAGACATACACCCATCCTGGGACCCACCACGTTGACAGTATACACACTGAGAGGTACTGGCAGCAATGGGCAGGAAAGGTGCCTACCTCGACACAGATCCTGTTCAATAAGTTTCATCTGCAGGTGGAATATCTGCTCCTGGAGTTTGCAGATGGCGTGTTTGGTTCTCTCACGCCTTGTCACCATGTAGCACAGATTTCTAACCTGAGGGAATACAAGAGACATTTTCCTCTTCACTCACAGTCAACCACCTCTGACCTCCCAGCTCTAGGGGGCCACCAACTGCCTGTTCTGCCCAGCACATCTGGGAATCAATTCCCGGACCCTGCGGGCACCCTCAGCCCTGAGCCGCAACACTCTGATCCACAACTTGGCCTTGAGGCCCTGGCTGAGCCCAAGCGGGCAGGAGTGACGGCTGCTTAGCTCAGGCTGCTGACTCTACCTTCTTCCTCCCGGCTGTAACTTCCTGGCCACACTGTCCCTCACGGCCCTCCAAGCGTGGCTGTTGTCCCCTAGAGACACAGCGCCCCATGGCTCACTGAGGCCTTGCAAGGTCACCAAGCCCCTCATTCTGCCTCCTGTCCAAGACACTCTTTCTCCCATCCGAGACACTCTTCAGCCACAAGCACCGCGGCAAAAACTACCTCCTATCCTGAGACATAAATGGCCATGGTACATGGAGCAGGGCGCTCCAGCGGACAGCCCTGGGCACAGGGGCTGTGTCTGACCTGCCTGGGTCCAGCCTGTGGCTGAGCTGTGTGCACCTGCTACCCCGGGACCCATGCCTGCTCTGGCAAAGGCCTCCACCCCACATGGCCATGTTCACTTGGAGACGGAAGTCCTCAGGAAGAAGGGCAGGTGACCCTCTAATTCCCTTGGGACAGCTAGGAGCACCCTGTCAGTGCCTGGGGGACCCAGTTTGCTCAGCCCACCGGCCACAGACACAGCCTGCAGCTGGTCTCGAAGCACCTGAAGTAAAGGCCACAGGTTGTTCCTTGTACACACTGCACCTTTCCACAGTGGGCCATCCTTTACCAGCTGCTCTCAGGGTACACCACACTTCTGGGGGCAAGTGCAGCCCCCCGCACCCAAGACATTCCTTGCTCTAAAATTGTTTTCAGGACAGGCTGGGGCCTCTAGAGCAGGCGCGGCTGGCCAGGAGAGGCTGAACTGAATTCTGGGTCCCCCCCAGGGTCTTTCCAGTGGACGCCGCCTTCATGGCTGCATTCAGCCTTCATGTCCTTGAGCTGCTTGGGGTGAGCTGTGGTTCCAGAGTCCCCACGGCTGCCATGACCCCATTTCTTCTGGCCTCCACCAGCATGGGCATTCTGCTGTCCTTCCTGAGCCTAGTCATGGAGGGGAGCCCACAACGCCAGCTGCAGTCCCTGACCTCTGCGGACAGGCTCTCTCAGCAGCACTCCAGGATGGCCTGTGCATCCCAGCCCAGACCGTCGCCACTAGGCCATGCTTGAAGCCAGCAATTCCCCGAAGGGCAGCTGCCTGGCCGAGCTGAAGAGCCCCTGCTCCGGCGTAATGGCAGTGTCTGACTCCCTCTCAAATCCTGGGCTTCCTCAGGCCCACCTTCCCAACAGCATCCTGGGACAGGCTGTGGCTCTGGGAATTCATTCGAGCTGAAGAGCCCCTGCTCCGGCGTAATGGCAGTGTCTGACTCCCTCTCAAATCCTGGGCTTCCTCAGGCCCACCTTCCCAACAGCATCCTGGGACAGGCTGTGGCTCTGGGAATTCATGTTGTGTTGGGCCCTGGACTCGGCCATGGGCAATGCCATCAGAGTCCCTTTCTTCTGAGGGCTAACTGCCACTGCCCTTCTGTCAGCCAAGTGCTTATAGGACTAGGCAATCCAGAGTTGGGGGCTGGTGAGAAGGCCGGAGAAAGGGGCAGTTTGGCTGAGTGGGAACTGATCACACAGAGGGACGGAACCTGGGGACAAGAATGCAGAGTAAGGCCAGGCAGGGGAAAAGCAGACTGAAGCCTCTGTGGCTGGAGAGTCGGGCTCTGAGGCCTGACCGAACTAGGTCACGGGGAGCTGTGGAGGGATTTTGGTGGTGGTAGGGCGACGTGTAAGTGCTGAGACCCCAGAGCCAGCCCTAAGGACCCAGCTCCTCCTCATCTGCCCGCAGAACTGATCCATTAGTATGCCCCACTGTCCTTCCTGGTAAGTGGGACCCCTTCCCAACGGCTCCCTCCACCTCTAGTCACAACACCTGTCATCTTCACCTGACAACCAGCCATTCTGACCCTTCTATCTCACAGCTATCTTCTAGAAATGTAAACATTAATCTTTTTAATATGTGAAGTCTCCTCCCTTAAAACAGCTTCCATATGGCTTCCATACTGAGTAGCATAACCTCAGATGTAATTAGTTAAGATGAGGCCACATTGGATATGAATCAGCCCTAAATCCAACGATTAGTATCCTTATAAAAGGTCATTGAAGGCACATACAGAGAGAATGCCATGTGGCGACAGAGACAGAGATTGGAGTCACGGGTCTACAAGTCGAGGAATGCCAGGGATGCGGCGACCACCAGCAACTAGGACAGAGGCATGAACCTTGCGGACACCTTGATCTCAGACTTTAGGCCTTGAGTACTAGGAGAAAACTAACTTCTGTTTGTTTAAGGACACTGAGTTCGTGGTACTTTGTTACAGTAGTCCTAGGACACAAATACAGCTTCCTTCCTGTCACACTCACAACATCAGAGCCCCAGTTCCACTGTCACCTCACTGCCTGTGTCCCATAGTCCTCCAGACTCCAGCTGCGCTGGCCTCCAGTCCCCTTGTGTTCAGCCCACTTCTGCCTTGGGGCCTTGGTATACATTCAACTCTTAGCTCAGAATGTTCCTCATCCCTCTCTTCCCAAGGCTGGACCTTGTCCCTCAAGTCTTGGCTCAAATGTCACCTCCAAAAGACCTTCCCTGGCCACCGCTCCTAAGCCACCCAGCATGATTCTCCCAGTGTCCTGGCCTGTTTCCTTGCTGGCTGTCACACGGCCTAGTGTGCATGGGGTCAGGGGTGACGAGGAGGCGTGAATATGTCGTGTCTACTCTGGAGGCCTCAAAACAAACCAGTCAATATGTCCAAACTACAAACAGATCCATCAAGGTCTAGCTTTTAAAAAATGTCCCAAATATGCCATCCTGGAGTTTACTCCACCCTTAAAGTTAACCTCTAGTGATGGGGTGAGGCGCAGAATGGCAAATTTTCTCCCCCAAAGAACCAAGAGTCCTACCAAATGACTTCCTATTAAAATATAGCTGTAGGGTTTTTTTTGGTTTTCCATCTGAAACTAGAGCAAAGTTTCTCAAGGCCAGCCCAAAAGAATTATGGGTACCCAGATCCCTGGGATAGCTGGTTGAAGACAGAGATTCTCAGGCTTGGGGAATATTAGACTCCCTGGAGGCAGGGCCCTCATATAGCTGGGAATTACTGCCCTAGGCCTGGGGCAGCCAGAGTGAGCTACAGAGGCTACTGAGTTTGCTAGTTCATCACATATACGAATAAAGTATCAGAACTTCTAAATGGTAGGTTTTTTGACCCTATTACCATATGAGAGGGACATTAAAAATACAATATATTCCAGATAAATGCTCAGTTTTTTCCCTGATAAGGGTATATACTCTACAATTAGTAATATCTGGAAACTCCTGCTATGGAAGACAGAAATGCTTCCTTCTGTGAAAATCCTGATGAAGCCATTGGCTGATACATTGGTCACACCATACCCTTATTTCCACTTTACCCTAGAATCATCAGCTAGTTCTCTGCTATCTCCCAAGACACTTGGCAACACAGCTGCACGTTACCAAATGCTGTAGAATTCCTCTTCTGTGATGGTTTTGGACAAAGTTTTGATGCTGTATTAGAAGCTCACCCAGGCTATCAGTCTTCTTACACTGTCATTATTGGTGTTTTTGAACAAAAAGATAAAACATTCTCTAAAAAAAAAAGTCAAGAGTATAAAAATGAGTCAAGTAGAAAAGTCCCCTGAAACTAGGGCAGGTATTGGTAATCCAAGAAGGTTTTATGTTTTGATGAAGTTGTTTTGATACCAGCAAGTTCTGCACAGAGACCATGAGAATGTGGGCTGAGGAAGGGGAGGGGAGGGGAGGGGAGGGATAACTGCCAGTCAGTTCTCTTGGGCTAGAATGGACCAGTGCGGGGACATTTGTGGAGACTGGGGAGGTTGTGGGAGGGGCAGGATGGGACCTGTGCACATGATGGGCATGAGATGCTGGAACCGAGAAGTGTGGGCCGGAGCCGGGCCTCTGATGGGGAGTGAAGCTGTGGACAGATGCAACATGGAGAGGTCAGGCCAAGTGTGGTGCGTGATCACTGAGACCAAGGAGCACTCAGAGGAGCAGAACTGGGGGGCTAAGGAGGGGATCTGGTCAGAGAGTGCACAGGAAAAGTATTTCAAGACCAAGGGCATGTCTGACTGTGGCAACTACTGTTGAGAGGGCTAGGGGATGAGAATGGAGAAGTGGATACCAGACACAGGGAAATGGAGGCTGCCAGTGGCCCTAGTGGAAGGTTCTGGAATATGGTGGTGGCAGAAGCCTGGCCAGAAGCAAAGTAAATGCAGTGAGGGGTGACAGGAAAGGAGAGATGGGGAGGGGTAGAGAAACCCCTGACCAGGACATGGTGAGGGAGGATTTGCTTTTGGAGATGGAGGCAAAACAGATTCACATGCTGGTGGAATCCGGGCGATGAAGAGAAGATAGAGACTCCCACGCTGCAGGGTGTGGGTTGGAAGGAGGTCCCTGGTGGGCAGGGGAGGAGACAGGGGGCAGGGATGGCTCTGCTGGCAAGCAGTTGGAGGGTTGTGGTACAAGGAACAGGAGGTGAGGTTGTCTGCTAAGAGGAGGGGTCCCCGAGGCAGGTGTGGCTAGAGCAGAGACAGAGGGTGGGCTGGGGAGGCCAGACTATGCTGGCGTGTATCCCACCAAGGCTGGCTGGCAAGCTCCCTGCTCGGGCTCCCCGGTTCAGGGACAGTGCCTGGTGGGCAGACAGTGGCTCCCACTGGGCGGGCTCTGCCAGGGGTGTGGCCTCTGCACAGGGGCAATGAGCTAATGCCACACAGGGTGTGAGTGAAGAATACAGGGACCAGCAAGGGACAGGGAGCCTGGGAAGGAATCAGGCAGGAGAACAGGAGGTGGTGGTTAGGAAGGAGGATTTGGGGTCACTGACCAGGGAGCAGTTTAAGGGGGCAACTGGGTTTGAGTAGGGTGGGGACATGAATGGGTCAGAAATGCCCTGAAATGGGAGTCACGGGGGTTAAGAAACCAGAGTTCTGGAAGCCAAGGCTGCTGAGTACAAGATAGGCTTTGGTGGGAGATCAATCTAGGGACTGAGGACAGAGAAAATGGGGTGTGACCAGGGACAAGGAAGCCAGTTGGTGGCCAGCGTGGAGGAGGGCAGAACCTGCCTCTCCTTGGGCAGTTCCGGCATGCCCATCCCCAGGAGGGGGTGTGAGAGCTGCCCCTGCCCTCAGGCCCTCTCAGGCCACATCAGGCTCTCAGCAGCGACCCTGCATGGTGGCGGGGGGTGCAGACCAGCTGGGCCGTGACCGTTGTCAGCTGGGAAGAACTCTGGGGACTGCAGCGGCCATGCCTGCTTGGGCCGCCTGCCAGGGCCGAGGCCTACGACTGGAACTGTAGGAAAGCACCTCTCTGGGCTGACCATAAAATGGGATTTCACGCTGGTGGTGGTAGCATGTCCTGGCTCCCGCTCTTCTCGGCAAAGCCCCTGCTGGCGGAGGTTGACAAAGCAATCAGGGAGGACACCCTGTGAGTCCCAGGCCCAACCACTGGGCCTGCCCTCTCAGTCTTCCGTGAAGCCCACCTTCTGGGCAGCCTACCCTTCTAAGAGCCAGAGCAGCAACAGTAACCATGACTAACAACAGGGGGCGCTGTGCTCCCGCCTTCACTGTGACCCCAAAGTCGGCTTGATCCTTACTCTCATTTTACAGACAAGGAAACTGAAACTGGGAAGGCACAGAGCTGGGAAGTGCTCGAAGTCGTTGCAGATGCAGGCTCCTGAAGACCTCAGCCTGACCCTCTGCCCTGCCTTCCCCACAGATCCAGCCTACGCTGGCCTTGTGCCCGGTCAGAGCTGGAGACGCTCGGCCCTCGGCTCCAGGCCATGGCGGGACCCAGGACTGCTGGTCAGGCCATCAACAGCCACGGGTCTTTGAAGAAAGCCCCCCCTGTGGCACAGTTCTCAGCCCTGTTCCCTCACTCAGGTCACCAGTGCGTGGTCATGCACGGTCCCGAGGCCAGACCTGGAGGGCACCCAGCCCTCCTGCCCCTCTCCTCCTCCTGCCAGGGCTGTGCAAGAAGCAGCATTCTGACAGGCCCCACCTGAGCCCTGAGGTGCAGAGGTTCTTCCTGGGAAAGAGCGGGCTGGCTCACACCTGACTGGGGCGCTCCGCCCCCTGACAAGAGGGTTTGTGCGGCAGCTCTAGCTGCCCAGGAGCCCCAGAGCCTGCCCCAAGCAGGCTCACTGGCATCCTAGCCCTTGACAAGCATGGCCCACGGCCCCACACCGCCATCTGTACCAGCTGACAATAGGTTGAGAGGTTGGGGGACTGATAAGGGACACTTTTGCCCAGGAAATGGACAGAACAGAGAGTAAGCCAACCAGCCTGACAAACCCTTTCCCGGCTTCAGGTCCAAATTCAACTCAAACCTTCCAACACTTCCTGTCGCCTTCTCTCCCTGAGCCCTATTCTCCTCATCTGCTCATTAGGCTGGGAGGATCGGCTTCTGTCTTTTCCTAGAATGATGATTACATAAGTGAGCCTTGCCACATGGCCCAATCGGGCCAGACACTGGGCTGACAGCATGGCCAGGGAGGTGAGAGCTGAAGGGTCATCTGCGAAACAGCATAAGTTTTTTAAAAGCAGCATGTCTGCCCTAGAGACCTTGGGGTGGCCTGAGGACAACTTGGGAAGCGGCTCTGGTCTCAGAAGGGTTTGTACCCGACCCCCCTGCCGTGTGAGTCAAGAGGCTGGGCTGCCTAGGAGGTAGCGGCTGCAATGTAAGTCACCTTGCCCTCTGCCCTGGATGGAGCCGGGGACATTTGGTACCCCCATCCCCTACTTCTCCCTTCTGCTTTGGTGGCAGCCTGGCCACCAAACAGTGAGCTCCCTCACAGGCCCTGGGGCAGATGAGAGCAGGGAAGCTGGAGCCTCCACCTCACGTTCCCCATCCCAGTATGACACCTGTCAAGCTGTTCTACCTACTTTACAGACGTGACAGCTGAGCTGCACACAAGCAGAGTGGTTGCCCCAGGTCATACAGAGTTCCCTCGGTGCCTCCACCCAGGGCTCTGGAACCCTAGAACTGAACATCCCGGACAGGAGAGGCCAAAACGGCACTTGGGGTTCAGAAGGCTGAATCAAGAACCTAAAACATCCAAATCCCACTTCATCCTTGGGTGGTACTTTATTAGTCAGAGGCGGCAGTGGGGCAGAAAAGTCAAGTTCAAGACCATACCCCACAAAAGGTGGGACCCTTCACCTTCTTTCTGGGGGGGAATATAAGGGATTGGATGCTCTGGGGGCTTCCATGCTTCAGGAAGCCAACTCTCACTGTCCCTCAGACTTCACAGCCCAGCCCCAAACCATGGCATCTGTGCCCACTTATCTCAGCCCCCAAGACTACCACCCTGGATCAAGCCAAGATCACCTGTCTCCTTGCACACACCTGGTGGATTTTGGCCAACCCACCCACTCGGGGCCTGGTGACTGCAGCAGGCGCAGCAGGACAGTCCGATTAAAATGCTTCTGCAGCTTCCAGACACACTTTGGTCCACCCGCCAGGCTCCATCTTTCCATTCCACAGGCTGCTATGTCTCTAGACTACCTTCATATCCTGTGCCTCTGCTCACACTGTTCCCTGTCTAGTGTTCCTGGTAGCCATGTCCACACCTGTCTTCCCTGCCCTAGCTCACCACATGCTTGCTGGGATGATTCAACTCACTCTTGATTCCCAATTCCTCTTGGCCTCTGAGTCTAAGAAGAAGCTCCTATGCCAGGACCAGGCAGGGCCCACAAAGGCCACCAGTGGGGCCGGAGGCCACTAGGAGCTGGAAGCTTGGGTCCTTGCCACAGGTTTGATGCCCTCCAGCCTCATGATCCTGGCAGGGCCCCCATCCTTCACCAGGTCCTGCAAAGGCCTAGGGCATGAAGGACAAGAGCTGGATTCGTCCCTGTTCTGCAAAGTAGCAGTTGCCTCCACCCTGTCCAAGACCTAGAAACCCTCAGCCCCTTGGCCAGAGCTCACAGTTTGAGTCCTGGTGAGCCACAGCTGCTTCAGGGCAGTGAGTGTGGAGTGGACAGGCCTCCTGGGATGCGCGTTGGGCAGGCGGACAGGTGGCGGAAGGCGTACTCACCCTCTCCAAGTCCTGCCGCAGGTGTGTGAAGAGCTTCAGGCGGCGGTAGAGGACATCCTGCTCTTGCTGGGCCAGGTTGTCCACCTCGTCAGTCTTGGGGGTCAGCAGTGGCTGGTTGGCATTGGCTTTCCTCTTCAGCTTCCAGTACTGGTAGATGAAGTCAACCAGCGCTTCAGCCAGGTCCAGCCGCTCGGCCACCTCGGCCGGTTCCACCAGCTCGTAGAAGTCTTCTTCCAGTTGCTGCAGCCGCTGCTTGCGTAAAGTCACCTTCTCCAGGTCCTCACCGGCTGAGCTGGGGTCCACCGGCTCAGACGTGGGCTCACCCCGTGGGCCTCCATCACTGTGCTCCTGGCAGAATGACTTGAACTTGACTTCATCATTGTCTGCTAATATAGTCCGCATTTCCAGGCCATGGTCAAAGGCGCATGTGACGTGGAACGCCGTGACGCAGGAGGGCATGGAACACTGGAGGGAAGGAAGGGCAGCATAAGGCAGGAAGGGAGCCCTGGAGGGAAGAAGGACATGGGGCATCCCTCAGGGTTCCACTGAGAGCACAGAGCGCTGGGAGGCCCTACATAAAATGGCATGGGTTCTCAACAGCTAGCAGGGTGTGCAGGGAGCTATGGCAGGTGGAAAGGGGAGCTCTGGGGAGCTGGAAAGGAAATGGGGGTCAGCACCACATACTCCATACAAGTCAACAATCAGATGACTGGACTAAGCCCTCAGGGGCCAAGCTGCACTTCTGTGGGGCGGAATGACTTTGGAAGCAGAGGCATCAAAACAGAGAGGCTGGTGACAGGTCACTGCCCCCTCCGCTCCTGCAGCACTATCTGTGGCAGGTGGTCGCACTCCTCCTTTGTCCTCTGGGCAGCGGGGAAGGGCCTGGACCCCTTCCTCCTCTTTGTGTCCAGGCAGCTCGGACCAACTCAGGGCCTGCCCCTCCCTCCCAACTTTGGACGATGGCCGTGGGCAGCTGTTTCAGCAATAGGCCCCCAACTATTCATGACCACTTATGCTGCACTCACCAGCCCTTGAGTCTTAAGAATGGGTGAAGGCACATCTAGTGTTTGCAACAATACCTCCTCCTGGAGAGATGAGGCAAAGGATGGCCCCCACCTCCCAACCTATAGACCAGGAGCATCAGTACGACCTGGGAACCTGCTGGAAATGCAATTTTTAGCCTCATTCCAGATCTATGGCACCAGGACCTCTGGAGTTCACGAAGCAATCTCTGTTTCAGCAAGTTCTCTGGGTGATACTGATGCGCAACAGAATTTGGGAACCAGCAGACTAGTGTGGCCCAGCCCATTAGCTTAGCTGGAGGGAAAGTTTGATTCCTACCCCTCCCACGTTAAGATGGACATCAGAAGTGAGATCAATGTGTTTGTTAACCCCAGAGAGACTTCCTCTGAGAGAAAGCCAGACACCTCAGCATTGAGTGGGGTGATGAGCCGGGGCTCCCTGCGCCTGTACCCATGCCTAGAGGAAGTAGGGATGGAGCAGTGCCCCCAAGGTGGGACTGCGACTCTGATCCCAGCCCCAGGCCTCCCTGGCCCATCAGTGGCTCTGTCTATAGCACCATGGCGGCAGGTGGAAGGTGGTGGCACCTGCCCGTTTCCAGGGTATCCCAGATGGACACCCTGCAGCAGCGGGATGAAGTGGCCATGTACCTGGATGCAGGTGCCCGTGCACTCCTTGCAGAGGCTGCAGGACAGAGCCCAGCGGCTGGCTGGGATGTGCGAGATCTTGGTGATGGGCTCCATCTTCTCCGGGCACCCGATGCTGACCTGGGCAGGGCATAGGGAGCTGCATCAGCCCTCTCGTCACCAGCCTGCCTCTGGGGATCCCCGAATGGGGGGCTGTCTGTGGAAACCAGGTGGTACACAGGGCAGTGGGCAAGACTCTGAATCCCAATCCGCCCTATCTGAAGCTGACCACTGAGTGAGGCTGTTAGTGTTTGCTCACTTCTTATTTTCAATTGTTTGTGTGAGAGTGCACATCAGTGTAACTGAATGTGTGTGTGTGTGTGTGCACTTACGACCGTGTGTTGTGTGGGCCTTAAGAGAGACTTCAGAGTGTGTGCGCATGCACATGCATCCATTTACAGATGAGTATATGCAAGGTCCTCTTCTCTTCTGTACCTCTGGCCTTTGTTAATAGCATCATCAGAGTTATTCTTGTAACTTGCATTTATTTTATTTTTCTGGGCAGCAAGGAAAGGCCCCAAGGCAGCATCTCTTCTTGGGGGACCTCTAGGGCTTTCCTGACCAACAGGGATGTCCTTTGTTTAGCCTGTCCTATCCTGCCTATAGGGACAGGCCAACAATCACGCTCAGGTCTCCTGGGCACAGTCCATCCGTAGACCCAGAGGCAGGTATATTTGCCTCCCCACTGCCCATGTCTGAGAGACCGAAGAGGGGCCCCTGACCAGAGGTCCTGAATCAAAGGGCCCCACAGTGGGGTCCTGGCTGGTTCTCTCTGTCCCTGCTGTGCCCAGCCCAGGGGACATTCAGAGGTAGTCCCAGCTTTAACATGCTGATCTGGGAGCCAAGCACTAGTGCCAACACAGTCACCATTGTCACACTACCCTACAAAGTGGGTCCCAGCGAGTGCTTCAGACTGGAGAGTGGAGGGAAGCCTGCTGACAGGCCACCTGCTTGCTTCCAGTCACAGGTGGCACTGGAGTGGGGCCTCATTCTGGGCCAAGGCACACACAGGGCTGGGGCTCAAACTCTGGCAAATGTCAACGTTTCAAATAAAGCAGGACGGCCTGTGGCCTGCCGAGAGCCCAGGGCCTTGGCTAACTCACTGTAGGCCCAGCTTGTCACCCGTGGTGCCTCCCTCCCTAGATTCAGACCCAAGCCCATGCCTCCATCCTGCCACGGCCCTAGCAGCAGGCTCTCCACCCAACTTTTAATTAGTTGGCTGTCTGATTTCTTTTTGGGTCACCTGGCTTATTTTTGTTTTGAACCAGCGGCCTGGCTTTGGTAGCAACCACTGCCTTTATCTGGACGGACTCACCAGCTGCTTTCCCCTCTGGTCAGCGGCCTGACTTCTCTCCGGCTCTCAGACCCCCCACCCTAATTCCCTGATGACCCAGGGTCCCGTTTCCCACTGAAACCAGCACCAGGTTCGGCCCATGACTGCAGGCAAAGTTCTCTGTGGGCTGCTGCCCACACTCGACCCCTGAGATACCCCCCTTTTAGGTGACCAATGACTTCTCTTCCCAGGGCTCTGCTACTTGGGTTGAGCTTCATGCAGACCCACCTGCCCGTGGCTGGTTCCCAGGGCCACTGACCCCCACGTCTGCTCACCTCAGGAGTCCACAGAGCGCAGCTGACATGCACCCACTTGGTCCCACTTCTCGTGGGTTTCAAGGCTCCTCCTCGCTTGGGGCAGAGCAGGCACTTTGGCTGGACACCTAGGGCGCATGTCCGGCACAGCCAGCTGCCTGTGGGCACCTTGAGGATCCCGTAGCACGCCTGGGGAAAGAACAGGGTGGCCATGAGTTAGAGGCACTGGCTAACTCTGCGTCAGGCCAGCAGTCAGCTGTCAATCCCACATCCCAACCTGAGCCAGGGGCTACAGGGCTACTCTGCCACCAGAAACAGGCAGGGAGACCCTGAGGGATTCTAAGGCAAGGGCTCCTGGAAGCTCCTGAAACGTCACCATTTCAGTGGAAGAGCTCAGGTCTGCCCTCTGCCGGGAGAACAGTCACCATAGGAGAGGTGATGACTCCCTGAAGTGTCCATAAATTCCCTTAATTGGAATACAAATTCGGGCATGTATACTGCCTGAGGACACGGCCCATAGGTTTAATCTCTTCTCATAGGGATCTGTGAAGGGGGCTCTTCCTGGTCACACCTAGGGTTCATGGGCCTAAGAGCTGTTGGGTGTAAGGGATGTGGATAAATGGGGTATATACTACCTACCCACCTGCCAACCAGGTGAAGCCCTCTGAGCTCCCCAGGAGCTATGCCAGCAGCAGTGGGTAAGGGGTTGGGGGGTTCAAAATCAGAGCCACTGTGGGTCCACTGGGTTTCAATCAGGTCTGCAAAAAAGGCCCAGAGATGTCCAAGACCTAGAGGCTTGGGGCCCAAGATTAAGAGAGGGAGGCCTGCTCAAGCCATACCTTGTTTATATCAATAATAGTAACAAATATTTATAGAACTATAGAACTGTACCGTTCTAAGCAGAAGCTCACAGTGAGTAACTCAATCCTCACAACAACTTACTTTTATTTATAGTTGAGGAAAAAGAGGCCCAAAGAGGTTAAAGAAACATGCCCAAAGCCACGCAGCTTGTAAAGGGCAGAGCTGTGATCTGAAACCAGGAAGCCTGGCTCTGCGCTCTACTCTCAGTCACTACATTGTGCTGCTGCCTCTTGGTAAGTTCAGGATGGTGAGGGCACGGCGTTCAGCAGGGAGTCTGGGTGAGGCTGACGGAACAGAAAGACCATCCAACGGGCATTTACCCAAGTCTGGCTGAGAGGCTGCGCCAAGGGCCCTGGCACCATGAGGCACTCCCACCATTCCTCCCCGTGTCCCTGCAGTCAGGATGAGCAGGCCCACACAGGGGCCCACCCGGGCAGCGGGTGAGCTCACAGTGAGCGTGAGGGGTAGTCAGGGCTGCTCACCTGGTGCACACAGACATTACACTTGTCGCAGAAGACCATCTCATTGCCGTCTTCACCCTCAGGAGAGCGGCACACATCGCAGACGACATCCTCATCGTACTCGATGCCCAGTCCCTCCTGCGTCTCGATGGCCCGCACCATGTTCTGGTGGCACAGTGTCTCCAGCTCCTCCAGCACACGCTCCAGCGTCAGCTCGTCTAGCTCTGGCCTCTCTGTGAGGACAGCAGGGGTGTGTGTGAGGAGCCCAGCCCTTCAGAGCCGATATGGGAGGGCTGCCATTCATCCCTGTGTGACCTGGGAAGACGTATCCACTGTCATGAGCCTCAGCTCCATCGTCCAAAGACCGAATGGGCTGGGCCATTCAACCTCAAAGGCCCCTGGGACCACACACACACGTACATGCAGATAACATGGAAGTTCTCTGGGATGTGGTTGGCTCCATGGGGAATCCACTGCTTGAGCTGTTATCTCTGGGGGAACTTCTGAAGGTGGCTCAATGGCAGAGCTGGCTCTTCCTGGGACATGCTAGCTGGCCCCAGCAGGAGGCCCGTACCAACCGACCCCAGCGACCCCAGCCCCATTTACCGTCTAGACTCAATTGCACGCTCACTCACTCTTCATAAAGGTAATGCTTACTAACGGTATTTCCAAGAACTTTGTAAATTGTATGCTATTATCACCCTCACCTGACAACTACAGAAACTAAGGCACAAAGACACCAAATCACTTCTCCAATCATTAACGCAGCCAGATTTTCTTCCCACCTGCAAGCACATTCTCAGCCAGGCTGGTCACTTACCCATCTCCTTGAGCTCCGAGTTGATGAGCTCCAGCCAGTAGGCGTCAATCTCGTCCAGGTCATAGCGGCTGCCCCCTGGCCAATCAGGCTGGGGGCCCTCGCCAAGTTCGGAGCTGCTAGGGGACACTGGGGCAGGGGGGCCTTCCAGTGGCGGGAGGATCCTATGAAATCCAGAGGGAGTCATAAGGGCGGGTCCCTCAGCCTGCCACCCTCACTGGGTCTGAGGCCTCCAGTGAGTTGGCCAGTCCAACTGAGGTCAAGTGAGGTGTGAGACTTGGACACCAAGAGGGGCCATATCCTTCCATTCTATCCTTACACTTCCTCCTCTCATCTGCCTGCCCTGCAGAGGCTCCAAGACTCCAAGCAGGCAGGACAGAAGTCCAGTGGGCTGGGGACAGAGTGGAGGAGGGCTGACCCACAGCCCTTGCACATCTCATAAACGTCCATCTTGCTCAGCGCACATGCCTAGTGGTCTTTCCACTGGGCACCTGGCCCTTAGCTAAAGCCCCACGACCTGGATCTGCCCTGCCTGGGCCTGTAGGAAGGCATTTTAAGTGCTGTCCTGGGCAATGCCCCCTACTTGGGACAAGTCCTAATGTCCCCGCTTTGGGACAAGTGGGACAGAACCAGCTGGGCTCCAGGTCCTTGACATTACCCCTCAGGACCGGGGAGAGGCCAGGTCTCCTCCTGGGCAAGGGGAAGCCCTGCCCTGGTAGACTGCTGCAGCCCTGGGTGGCCCTTTCCACATAAAAGGTCGGCTACCCCAGAGGACACAGTGTGGCCCACACACAGTGTCCTTACCTCAGATACAATATTACCTGAGCTGTGAGTCTCTTGGCTACAGTGGTTCCACCCAAGATAGAGGCCTTCACCCCTGGACACAAAGATGTGCCTACTGTGTCCCAGAACCACACTCCAGGTCAGCCCTCCCTCGGGCCATGGCCCTGCCTCTTGGGGCAGCTTAAGACAGGTCCTGGCTACACAGCATGGACTCAAAGCTCTGCCCCACCAGTTAACGTGTAACTCTGGGTTAGCCACTTTAACTTCTCTGTGCCCCAGTGATCTTACCTAGAAAGTGGGCTAATAACAACAGTTCTTACCTTCTATGGTTGGTCTGAGACTAAATGAATGAATACATGGAAAGTTCTTAGGACAGTGCCTAGCACACAGTATGCCCTGTATGTGTGTCGTGTGTATTTTAAGACCTCCTGCTATCACTCTGCTCCTTCTGAAAAGGTGTATGAGTGCTTTTTGCCTTGGGAAGGCACGGTTTCCCCTCTTGGCTCAGCTGTGTGCTGCCCCTCAGTTCCTGATGCCAGTTTGAAATGCCAGCCCTCCCTACCCCCCACTGGTTGCCATGGTTATCGCTGCAGAGCCTGGCCTCCATCTGGCCAGCCCTGCCAGGGCTGAGAGGCCCCTCACTTGCCTGAGAGGCCTCCTGGGGTCGGAGGCAGGGCTGCCAGTGGGTGTGAGTCAACACAGGCTGAGGAGGGGCGGGCAGGGCCCTGGATGGCACAGAGACATGGCTGAGCTGTGGAGAATGCTCCTGGGCTTCAGGAAATGCCTCAGGTGTCAGCAAGAGGGGCAGAAAGGGTGAAGGAGCCAGGGAGACAGAACGGCCTCCAGACCAGGAAGGGGAGGTTCAGAGGAAGTTGGGGGAGGCAAGGAGAAAGGGAAATAGCTTGGTGCCACTTCTCTCCACAAGAGGCCCAGATTAAAGGAGGCCTTAGGCAGTGACAGTGGTGTGACTCCCCCCAGCCTCCTGCCCCTGCCAAAAAATAGGCCATTCCAGATAGAAGCAATACTAATAATTCTTAGTCCTACAAAATGCCTTTCTTCATGATTCATGAGGCTCTTATTTGAATTAACACGTTCTTTTAAAAACAGACTAATTTTGTCATGACCCTGTTGTGTCTGTCCCCCCTGTCCAGGCTTAGTTGGAATTTTGGATGACCTTTATTCCCATGCCCACAACTTACTGCTGGCATAACTACCCACACGCATGTGCTCAAAGAGCTGCCACCTGGACAGACGTCTGGAGGCCAAGACCATGTTCCTTTCTCTAGGAAGCTGGGGTTAAGGGGCTCACACCAGAAAAATGCATCTCAGGTGCTTTCCGGGCCTCTCACCTTCACCTGCAAGTACTCTTCTGGCTGTGGCTATGGAGGAGGCTCCTCTACCAGGCATGACCTGACCCTAGGTCAAGGCCGCATCTCAGCTGCAACCGGCACACGTGAGGTCAACTGGGAGAAGGTGGATGGCTGGGGCTGGGATCCGGGGGAGGGGAGAGGTCTCCACCCCAGAAGTCAGCTCTGCCCCAGACTGAGGTTCTGGCCACACTGAGGGGGCAGCCCAGGCCCTCACTCAATCCATGACTGGGGTGAGGCAGGCTCTCATTATCCAGGTAAATTTCAGACCATGAGGTCGTGGAAAGGACTGGGCCAGGATAGAGACACAAAGAGACAAAGAGGCCGAGCCAGTGGCCGTGGGCGGGGGGAGCCAGAGCCAGCATACCAGGGTGATCGGGGCACAGAACTCCCTCTGGGCCCCACAGGGGCAACCCAGGGCTTGTTTCCATGGCCTGTGACTTCCTGACCCAGCCCAACAGCCTGTGGCTGTCATGCGGGGAGTTCCCCCTAATTTCCCGACTTCCTCATCTATAAAATGGGGTAGTAATATCTGCTTTATAGGGCTGGTATGATAGTTAAATGAGAAGATGAACCTAACAGGCTCAGCTCCACAAGTCCTCAGGAACAGAATTCCTGTGATGACAGTGGCTGCAGTGGCTGTGCGCTGGCTTCCGATGAGGGCAGCAGAGTGGAGGGACGAGGCTGGAGGGAGGCAGGAAGCAGGGGTGTGGCCATCTCCCCGAGGGAGCACCTCTCTCACCGATCCCTGCCTGTCCAGTCGGTCTTCTGCAAAGAGCAGGGGTAGGCCAGGAGTGCCTGGCTCCTGTCAGCACAGAGCAGCCATGCATACGGGAGGAACACACCTAGAAGAGCCAGGCCTGTCTGAACTCTTAGACAAAGCACCATGAGGGCAGACTGAAGCGAAGCTACTGGTGTGGAAGCATCTGCAATTAATTACCCAGGCAGGAGGATATTTCCAGAACCACCTGACGTGGATATCAAGGAGAAAGGACAGACTGCAGGGCTTTGCCTCGTCAGGACTCACCTCTCTCCGCCCAGCTGGGGGCCTGCCCCTCCCCATCACTGCCCTGGCCCTGGTGTGTGTACTCTCATTTAATCCTCACTGCCACACCATCAGGCAGATGCTGTTTTTAGCCCCATTATAAGTCTCAAAGAGGTCAGTAGTAGCTCCTCAATCTGCACAGGTAAGGGTGGGAAAATGGCTAGGAGTTTGACCCACATTTCTGGCCCTGGCAGGGGATGTTGGGAGTAAACTCTTTCTCCAAATCTCATATATACTTCCTTCCAGAGAGGCCTGGGGGCTCCCCGATTCTCAGAGGGCACTGCTAAGCATTCAGCCCTCCGGAGCCACAATACAATGAGCTCTGCCCAGCATCCAATCCTCAATAAGCCCCCAAGTGAAGCTTAGGATCTGCCTTGCCTCTGTTATCCCATGCCCAGTGTAAGCCTGGCACCAAGCAGGGACTGGGTATCTGTGAGCCAGTCACAGGCATGGCTGCGAGGAAGCAACAGTGCCAATGTCAAAGGAGGTGACAGCTGCCATCTTTGCACCAGGGTTGGTCAAAATGGGCCTGAGAGCCATGGGTCTGCCAAGGCCAGGAGAGGGCTGCCAACACAAGGGCTCTGCCCAGGGCAGGCTGGTGGATGGGGAAAGCCAGGACAACAGGCCCCTGTACCCTGACACATGCCTTGGAGAATTTCGCAGGGTGCAGAAAGCACTTGGCTGAACTCTGTGGCTGGAAGCAAGGCCCCTGGCCACCCATGAGGGCTCCTCCTGACAAGAGCACCAGCGGTCTCCCCAGCCCACAAGGCCAGAAGGCTATGAAGCCCAGGCAGGACTCGTCCCTGACCCAACTCTGACCCAGACCTGGCAGGGGGGCCTCCTCAGAGGCTGGGCATAGCAACTACTTCCGGAGCATTTGCTGTGTGCCAATCACTTGACTCCCTTGCACTAGGAACTCCTTAAAAAGATCTAAGAAGTCAAGAGTATGGCATATTCCTGTCCTTAGGACTAGTTAGAAGCCTGGACATTTCCCTAAGATCTGCCTGTGGGGCCCAGTTGGGACGGACAGCAAACTAACCCATGGCTAGTTTTTACTGAGGGCTTGTCTGCGTCAGGTCCTGCGCCAAGTGCTTTCCACACACTGTTCCTCTGTATCATCCCGACCGCCCATCAGGTAGGTGTTATTGCTATCATCCTTATTTCACAGACAAGGAAACAGAGGCCCCAGATTACATTTCTGGTCTAAAGTCACAATTAATAAAAATGGAAACTTGAACCCAGGCCCAAGCCCAAGCCCTTAGCCTCAAAGGTAAACTGCCAATATTTCTGGATCATTTCAGTAGTTTTTTGGGGCAAAAGAATCTAAGACACAAGAGGGGCAGGCTAGAAAGGACTCCCAGGACTGCTAGGTCCCCTGGCCTAGTCCTCACCTTCCCTTCCTCCCCTACCTGTCGCCCTCTAGTCTGGGCCACCTGGCTCACCTTACCACAGGCTCTGGGATGGCCTCTGCCCCAGCAGGCACCTGCACACCTTTCTCCCATTCCTGTCGCCACGGGTCTGCCAGGATGTAGTAGTCCTCTGGGCTGAGCTGGTATGAATCTGGGATCTTCATGGCTGTGATCAAGTCTGTCCGGAAAACCTGTCGGGAGCAAGACAGGAGGGAATAGCTTTGGACTGCCTCCGGGCGCTCTGCTCACAGACCAGGGGCGGAGCGGGCAGACGCAGCTCCGATGCGCTTCCTGCTCAATCGCTTCAAAGTGAGAAGACAACATGAAAGCAGAAAATACAATAGTGCATCTTTGAATCCAGCAAAGTGCTCTGCACACACTAGATGTTCAGTACATGTGTCCAGTGGGATTCACATGGGTTCTGACAGGCAGTGGACCTCAGAGGGAGGAGGAAAGTCTCACTAAGAAAGGCCAAAAAACAAAAGGGAAAACATCAGAGGGCATACAGGCTTCTGTGAATGCAATACTACCATCAAGTGACTGTTCAGGTAATTTCTGTTGAAGGTTTAAAATTATGTTTGCATGTGCAACGACGGGCACAAGTGGAGCTGTCAGAAGTGTGCAGGGTATCAACCCAGGCCTACAAAATGCCAGGCCCTCTGCAAATGGCTGAGGGAGAGCCCAGGGTTCAGGGCGGCCTAGAGAATGGCTTCTCCCGGGTCAGGGTCTCCCAGGACCATCCTCCGTGTGCGATGGGGTAGGCGGAGGAGGACGGCGCTACGCTCCTTCTCAATCCCGCCCTGAGCCAGGCCGAAGGGACCGTGCCTCAGGCTTCTGTTTTCTTCTGGGCGTCTGCTCACTTGGGGAAATTGCTCTTCCTAGTTCTGTCTGTTGCCCCATTTCCACCCTAGAACAATCTCCAAGCCCAGCCCCCATTGGCACTGGCAATGCCGCTCTGGCCCCAGCTGTGTGACCTCACTGTGGCCTCCCATAAAAGGCCGCTGTGGGATTTGGTGGCAGCTGCATACACTGTGTGACTTGCTTAGGTACCAACTTTCCTGGTGATCATCACATGAGAAGCATTCACATCACTGAGAGGAGAGAAGCCACTCCCAGGAGAACGCCAGGTTTCAGATCAAGCTCCAACCTGCTTCCCCAACCCCTGCCAACCCCCCAAGAAAAATCAGCATCAGCATCGGTCACAGGCTTCGAGCAAACCCATTCGGTGGTAACCTCTGCCTGCTGGGAGCCCAACTCAGTGGCTGTGTGTGTCCTACTGGGGTCTAGGGCCAGAACAACAAGGAAACAGCTGAAGTGAGTGCACCGAGGGGGCTCAGGGCAGCATCTTGCAGAAATCTAATTAACATCTGCATCGAGCTAGAAAGGGCCCTGGCTTGAAAAAGGTCATGTTTCTTGAAGACTCTATTTGCCAATATAATTTAATTGGTAAGACTAACACCCTAACATTTAATTAGGGTGCCAGTATGAAAAAACTAAAATGAGATTACGATTAAATGCTAATTAAACAGAAGATGGAATGTGGTGAAGATTTCATAGCCCTGATAATTTGCATTCTTTGAATCCAGCAAAGTGCTCTGCACACACTAGATGTTCAGTACATGTGTCCAGTGGGATTCACATGGGTTCTGACAGGCAGTGGACCTCAGAGGGAGGAGGAAAGTCTCGCTAAGAAAGGCCAAAAAACAAAAGGGAAAACATCAGAGGGCATACAGGCTTCTGTGAATGCAATACTACCATCAAGTGACTGTTCAGGTAATTTCTGTTGAAGGTTTAAAATTATGTTTGCATGTGCAACGACGGGCACAAGTGGAGCTGTCAGAAGTGTGCAGGGTATCAACCCAGGCCTACAAAATGCCAGGCCCTCTGCAAATGGCTGAGGGAGAGCCCAGGGTTCAGGGCGGCCTAGAGAATGGCTTCTCCCGGGTCAGGGTCTCCCAGGACCATCCTCCGTGTGCGATGGGGTAGGCGGAGGAGGACGGCGCTACGCTCCTTCTCAATCCCGCCCTGAGCCAGGCCGAAGGGACCGTGCCTCAGGCTTCTGTTTTCTTCTGGGCGTCTGCTCACTTGGGGAAATTGCTCTTCCTAGTTCTGTCTGTTGCCCCATTTCCACCCTAGAACAATCTCCAAGCCCAGCCCCCATTGGCACTGGCAATGCCGCTCTGGCCCCAGCTGTGTGACCTCACTGTGGCCTCCCATAAAAGGCCGCTGTGGGATTTGGTGGCAGCTGCATACACTGTGTGACTTGCTTAGGTACCAACTTTCCTGGTGATCATCACATGAGAAGCATTCACATCACTGAGAGGAGAGAAGCCACTCCCAGGAGAACGCCAGGTTTCAGATCAAGCTCCAACCTGCTTCCCCAACCCCTGCCAACCCCCCAAGAAAAATCAGCATCAGCATCGGTCACAGGCTTCGAGCAAACCCATTCGGTGGTAACCTCTGCCTGCTGGGAGCCCAACTCAGTGGCTGTGTGTGTCCTACTGGGGTCTAGGGCCAGAACAACAAGGAAACAGCTGAAGTGAGTGCACCGAGGGGGCTCAGGGCAGCATCTTGCAGAAATCTAATTAACATCTGCATCGAGCTAGAAAAGGCCCTGGCTTGAAAAAGGTCATGTTTCTTGAAGACTCTATTTGCCAATATAATTTAATTGGTAAGACTAACACCCTAACATTTAATTAGGGTGCCAGTATGAAAAAACTAAAATGAGATTACGATTAAATGCTAATTAAACAGAAGATGGAATGTGGTGAAGATTTCATAGCCCTGATAATTTGCATATCTTATTAGTAAGCAGTAGGATGGCTGATAGAAGAACACAAACTCAGGCACCAGGTGCTTCTGCGAAGCCCTTCAGCAGTCTCTCTTTGCTGGCCTGGGCCTTGCCTGGCCAAGGCCTCTGCCAAGCCAGTGCAGAACCTGGCGGGGTGAACTGAACCCACGGTGGACTCATCAACACCCCAGAGTTCCCCTCATCTGGGCAAGCCTGCTGCTCTGATGCCATGGGACAGCCCTATCATCTTGCTCCAGAGATCAACCCTTTATGAGCCCAGGGTCACACTATGTGCCCCTCCAATGAGGCATGAGTGGGCCTGAAACCTCCGCCGTTCCTTATCCTGACTATAGTTTAAATGCCACCAGCTTCTCAGGTCAGCCACTTTCCTGATCAGCCTGACTCAGGGAGCACCTACTGCCTGACAGAGCCACTTCCCACCCCATCCCCCTGCCTCACTCCCCTGCACTCGCACCCCTGAAAGCTAACTGGTGTGACGCATGACATTGCTTGTCTCGGTTATCTCCCCTGCTGCACCTCTCTTGTTCTCTGCTACCTTTTCAGTGCCTGGCATGGTGACTGGCATATGGTAGGTTCTCAGTAATCAGTGACTGCCCGCCTGAATGAATGAATGGGCCTCTCTGGGGATTATCTGATGAGTCTGAGACTCCCAGCTGATTCCTCAGCAGTGCTTTTCAAATGCCCCTATTAACAAGGTGAGACACTTCACGGATATACCCAGCATGCAAACCCCGAAGTACCTGGGCCTGAACAGAGCAACATGCTGCCTCTGCTCTCCAAGGCTTGAAGCCTAAGGCCCGTGCTGGAGTTGGGGAACCCAGGGTATAAGCCACACTGGTGGCAGAGAGATGCCCCTGGCCTGGGAACAGGCTTGGCACTGTGAACTCAGAGCAGGAAGGGATCCCAACTCCTTCAGGGAGAGTCAAGACACAGACAGGAGTCTGGTCTCAAAGGAGTTTCATCCTGGGTCACTCAGGGAGCAGGTGGCAGACCCGACTCGAGCAGCCCTTTCTGGCAGAGGACTGATGGGAGCTCAGGAAGGGCAGATTATCATGACGGTACAGCCAACACTCCGGAGCACCAAGTACCGAGTACCAGTCTAAGGGCTATCCTTGAATTAATTCATTATCAGTCCCCACACCAACTGTGAGATAGCTGCCACTAACATCCCTATTCTGGGACTCAGGTTAGTTAACTAACTTACACAAGGTACTACATGTAGGCAGTGGCAAAGGACCCCAGGCTGTGACTACCCTGGAGCCATCCAGCACTGTCCCACAGTCCCCCGGCCCTTTGGGCCTGTGCTCATTGCCAAGGCCCTAGGGGTAACCGCCACCAATCTGGTAGTTTCCCAAGGGCTAGGATATGCAGTCAGATGATGGCCTCTGCAAATTCCAGGTCCTCTGGTGGCTTTCCGCTCTCTTCCCACTGCCCGCAGGTTAAGCTGCAGGGCCTCCCATGCCCTGTGGCCGCAGATGCACTTGCAGTGTCCTGAACCCTTTTACCTGGGGCACGCAGGACACACTGTCTCCACAGGGATCCTCCTTTCCCTCACCAGAGTGGGGAGGGCCTGCTTCATCCTTTAAGGTTTCAGTCCAGCCCACAGTTGCTCTGGGAAGCCTTCCCCAGTAGTCCCAGGCAGGATCTGGGCTTCCTCTGAACTCCCACAGGTTCAGTATTGGGAGTCTCCTGGTTTCTTGCCATGCCCTCCACTAGAAGGTGAGCTCTGTGAGGTCTGGCTGGGCCACCAGTTGGGGGCCAGCAGTGCACACAGGACCTGGCACTTAGGTGCTAACAAAGGCTGAATGACTCAAGAGCCCTCCTGAGTTGCTGTGTGAGACCACAGCTGAGCAGCTGGGTACTCTGTGCCTTTATATAAAACCTGTCCACAAATACGGCAACTCAACTGTAACCCAAAACCCCTTTCTGCTATGAATTGCCAGAGGTTAGGCTTGAAAATAGGTCCAATTCTTCACCGAAATGCCTTTGAATTATTTATGACAAGTAAATAAAGAATGAAATGGACACTGATGAACTGGAGGCCTTGCTGTGGCAAGAAAGCTGGAAGCTGGAAAACAAGCAATTTTCCAAGAATGTGAATGTTTACTACTTTTTCTCTCTTTTGGCAGAAACTGACAAACTGGCTTTAAAGGTCCGCTGCCTAGCAACCAAGTTCTGCTGAGCTGCTTGGGAGATGTTAATTGTAGCTTCTTCAAACAGTATGAAGAATATTTAAAGGTCCAAAACTCTGAGGACCAGGGGTGCCAGTGCAACTCTGGAGGGAGCCGAACACCTTGCTCTGACCAGACAAAGGGGCACTGCACACGGCCCTGTCCGACAGCTCCCTTCTCCAAGACTGATGACCACAAACACTGAAAA